TTACAAAAGACAATAAAAGAAAAAAGGACATGATAGGGAAAACAAAGAGTAAAACAGAAGAGGACAGAATATTAAAAAACAAGATAACTTTAAGACGGAAGAGAACTGTCCTCTACATACAGTTTAGCAGAACTTTAAACGGGAAACTGTATAGCCACTAACGTCCCAGTACAACCACATGCAAATAACACATAAGACACACATAAGACACACACTGTAACACACTGTAACACACTGTTACACAGTGGCCAGCAACTTATGTGATGACCTGCCAGCTGAAAACACAACCTCATAGCTTCCCTCTCTGTGAATCCTATAAAAAGGGCTTCTATTTTGTGTGTGTGCTTGTGTACGTGTATGAAAGACATGTTACACACACACACACACACACACACGGCTCACCTGGAGGTGCTGGGTGGGTGTGGGAGGATGGGGTCTGTGTTTAGCTGTGGGCCCTGCAGACAGGGCGATCAAAGGCTCCTCAGTCTTTGTCTGCTAACGTTGAATAGACAATAGTAAAGAGGGCTCGCTTTGATTTCAGCTCACTTTTATTGATCACAGAGGAGCAGGGATTGAAATATGAGAGACAACCCTGAACTGGATTCTTCTTTTGCTATTGATTATATCCAGAACAGACGGCATTTCATGATGATCCAAGTCTTTATTTTATCCTCTTTTTTTTTTAACCGTGAAAAAGTGTGTCTGGCTCCTCGCCTGTCTTTCAGGTGCAGCTAGTAATACACCAACTCCTGTCATTTTAACAGACAATGCTTCGTGTTAAATCTCATTTTTTAAGCTTCTTCTTGAAGTTGACGTATAAAACTTATCCAGGATATGCTGACAGCAACCCCCACTACCTTGTGCTCTTTCATCCACCCCCCCCTCCCTTGTCAGCAACCTTTAAATCTTGGTTTAAGGAGGACATTTTGTTTCCATAATTTCAGAGGAGGTAGGTTCAGGGGGTGGAGAGGTTGGGTGCAGCACAGAGAGGACCGTGGGAACAAGGAAACACAGCTTGGCCAGGTACAACAACCCCCCTCTTTCCTTCACAATACACACACTCATTCAAATCTCTGCTCTCCTGCGTACAGGGTCTCAGCTCATCTCACTCCAGCTGTGTTTAATTCTCTGCTGGGATGCAAACTGCACGGCCTAAATTTGAGACCAGCAAGTTTATTGTCCCGGGCTTTACTGTTATGAGGTGAGATGCTATGAGCTCAAGTTGTGTGCAAGTTTGTGATGGTTTGAATTTAACTTGGCTGGTAATAAAAAGCAGAGTCACAGAACTACGGTAATTAGTTAGAATTATAATGTGCAGTGTTACATAATGTTGCATGATTGTACGGTTTAACAATTAAAATATGACAGATTGATTTAGAAAGCACCTTTTATCAGGAATATTTGGTTAAAGAACTAAGTATTGTTTTACTAAAAAACGAAATCCTTCAGAATTCAATTATCTTAGTATCTTAGTATCCCAGTCTTGATTAGCACATGAGAGATTCTCATTATGTTTATTTTGTTAAATGTCATGCCAAAGGTAAGAATTGTCTCCGTCTTTGTGGAGCCGGTAAAATCTCTTCATCTTTAAAAGTGACTCTTTAGGGCCTGTTTAAGTTGAGCTGACAGATGTGGTTATTTGGGGACAGCTCATTGGCAAGTTTATGGCCAGAGTGCTTATTTTACTGGAGCCGAGCACATGTGCTTGTGACAGTGACGGAAATCCTTTCGGAAGTCTGGCATACGGTTGAAATATAGGAGACTTAAGAGGACATAAAACCCGCCTGATGTTTATCACCAAGAAAATCTCAGGGAGTTGTGTCCCAAAACACAAGATGATAAAAAAAATCCTGTTTTAAATTCAGTCTCCAAAAATGTGTACTATCCTTAAATGTTAAGATGAGATGCTCAGCATTCATGCAATAATTAATTAAAGTAGTAAATGGGTTTTATTGAATTTCTCAATATTTATTTTTCAGAGGAACTTAAGTAATTTAATGAACACACACACACACACACACACACACACACACACACACACACACACACACACACACACACACACACACACACACACACACACACACACACACACACACACACACACACACACACACACACACACACACACACACCACACACACACACACACACACACCACACACACCACACACACACCACACACACACACACACACACACACACACACACACACACACACACACACACACACACACACACACACACACACACACACACACACACACATTTTACAGGCAGTGATTTGGTCAACATAGGGGAGGAGGTCGGGACTTAAAGTCTCACATAGGAAGCAAAAAACAGTATTGTATTGGTGTGTGTGTGTGTGTGTGTGTGTGTGTGTCTACATCTGACACACCCCCAGCCACATGTAAAGACTCTGAGGATCAGGTTTCTTTTGAACACATTTAAGATGGCATTTGTTTCCAATAGTTTACAGTTTGTGAAAACGCCTGTTCCGGAAGGCTGGACCGATGCATCCGAGTTTGGTTTTGCAGGGCGGCGTTTTATGAAGCTCCCGTGGGGCTGCAGGACGGACGAGGGAGAAGCAGTGCGTGCCTTTTAAGAGCCCCTGACGGGTTTAGTGAGCCACTTGGCTTTTTATTTTGGCTCAGCTCACTGCAGGCTGCTTGTACTTTACTGTGCCCCCTCTGTGCTGGCCTGGTGGTTGCAGATTAAGGACATGCAGAGCAAGGCCCAATCATTACACCGGCGTACACATGCTTATTATGTGTGGTGTTTACTGTGTGTGTGTGTGTGTGTGTGTGTGTGTGTGTGTGTGTGTGTGTGTGTGTGTGTGTGTGTGTGTGTGTGTGTGTGTGTGTGTGTGTGTGTGTGTGTCTGCTTCCACATATGTCAGGGAAAGTGCTGCAGAGTGACGCCAGTTGCTGCATGCTGGGTGTAGCTTCCAACTGATAAATGACTGCAGGGACCGTCTTTCTTTGCCTGAACCTCACATCATTTTCCCTGGAGAGCAGCGGCTGACAAATATTCTAACCTGAAAACCGAGAAGGACTACAAGACAACTGTTTCATTCTAAATATGAGTTTAACCTGTTTAAAGTTATTCAAGTTCAAACAATAGCAGCTTTCAAATGATGAACAGGACTGTGCTGCTGTTCCCGCTTGTGTTTGGAGACTGTCCCTGGTGATTCTTCTCTCCCAGCAAACTAATATGTTTGAAGCTCAGGCTGCCATTGCCAAGCCTGCGCCACAAGCTATTTCAAATGTGCAAAAAAATATTGATATTCCAGGCTTCTAAAAACAAAACAAACAAACGAAAACAAAAAAAATCCAAGTCAATGTCCTCTGGAACGGCCTCATTTTTCTGCCTCAGAACACTCAGAGATCACCTGGGACAAATGATTATTCTGCTGCTTCTTCAATGCTCTTTCTTTAACTTACACACAAACACACACACACCATGCTTATACTTAAAGTCGTGTTCTATTTAAAGAGTGAGTGCAGGTCTTCTTCAATCTTTTTTTGCTCTCAAGAAGTTAAGGTGTGAGCGCCAACAAATTCATGCTGAGAGACTCTAGCAACAGAGTTTGGTTTCACATTTTCACTTGGTTAACTATGTACAAAACCTTGACATTCCGTGATGTATGGAAACCATGTTCCCAATTCACATTTTCTTTGAATTGACATTCTCAAATATATAAAAACAAGGTTGGATGAATCTAAAAAAACTAGGTTGAGACTTAGGAATGTTTATCACTTATAAGTAAGTGATAGCTCATGAAATGGGCCTTATTCAGAGACAAAATGTTCAGTTTCAGTTCTGGTATTGCTTAACTGCTTTAAGTTTGGTCACTCCTTCGCAAATTATTTGAGTATGAGATTGAGTATAATCAAAGCTCCAGAGCACTTTTATATTTGTTAAACAGGACCCAGGAGTGAAAGCAAACTGCAATGAAGACTTTTCACCACAAGATGGACTTAGGGATGCATGGTTTTGGATGTATGGCAAACAGCAGGAAAAACTGCATGCTCGGGAAATGTGTTTTTGTATCATTATACCGAAAATGCAGAGCCAATTTCCAGCTGTGTATAAATATCTCGCCATGCTCTGAAGCAGAGGAGTAAGGCCATAGATGCTGGGGAGCGCCAAACAACGTGCGTATTCATTCCCGATATTTACTTTTGTTTGTTTTCACTGTGTTCAGGGCACCATGGGAGCAATTTTTGCTGTGATGAAACTGAATAACAGTCCCTGTGGAGTTCATTACAGGGAAAGAGCCAGTGCTCCCTGGCCAAGAGGGATTTGGAGTACCCAGAGGGATCGGTTAGTGAGGGTGGGGGGAGTGGAGGTAACCTACAGAATGGGGTGAGGGGGGGCGACTCGAGGGAGGCAATAAGGAAATAAACCATAAACACTCAGCTAATGACCTCAAACACACTAACACTGTAGCAGAAATTAATGAAACTGTGCAAATTAAGACATTCACTCCAGGAGCAAATGGAAGAATGTTTTCTCTTTTTGAAATAAGAGAAAAAGGGGAGAACAAAGTTTGGGAGAGAAGAGACAGCATCTGAAGGCTTCAATACTGCAGGCCTGAGAGCTGAGTGTCTCTTTGCACTCAATGCACTTTGGAGTTCACTATTTGAGTTAACTCTACATTTGATTTGCTGTTCTTCAAAGTTATTGTTAGGCATGTTATGCACACTATTCTCACTCTGTCTAAATGAGATTTTGTTCTGAAAAAGTCACCAAACTCTTTTAGAAAGAGCACTGAAGTTTTAAAGCAGCATTGCACGAAACGTTTGTCTGAAATGTCACTAAAGGGACTGTGCAGACAACACAGGAAGTCATGGTTTAATTGCAATGTTTATCCTAATAGAGATGTTCTTTTAACACAATGTAATTAGCACAAACTTTAACTAGAAAGAGGAAATACAGGCGTGTGATCTTGTCTTTGTTCCGTCTTCTAAGTGCACTTGCGACCTAACCGCTGGTTGAGAAACTGTGGCTCTGACCTGAGATCATGGCTATGGCCAACTGTAAGTAACTGTATTTATTATTACTTATAAAATGATAACAGCTGAGGATTGGCATATATAGATAATACAATAAAAGTGTATTCTTGTAAAAGGTAGTGTCTATGACAGTTACGTTTTTATTTAGTGCAATACATTTTATTTTAGATCTGCTACAGTAGGCGGATTTATAGATGGATCAATGCATGTGGAAAAATATGTATGGCTGTACAATTTGGATAAAAACGTACTTACAACTTTTAATTAAATAGCTTTAAATAAGCTATTTAAAATATACACTTACTTGCCTCTTAAGGTACACCTGTACAATGTAAGCGGTTTAATACAACATGCAAAAACATCTACTTGTATGAAGTCTATAATGTTCAGTGTATTCAATGTATGTTCACTCTATAACTCTCCTAATTAATGTCTAATATTCGGGATTAAACCCGGAGTCTCTCATATCATTGACGCTACAGCTGGAATAGAAGCCAGACAAATAATTTGCATATTCACATAGTGACCATCAAAGAAATACTTAGAAAATAACTGCAGCGTCATTGCAGAAGTTGTGAAGATAAGAGTGGTTTAACTTGACAGACGCTGAGTTGGAAAGCATGCAAGTTCAAAATTAGACATTTCTTTCTCTGCATTAAATAGAAGTACTCGTCTGCTGATTGATTATCCTCTATCCTTACAATACTTTATGACAAAACCCCAACTCCTGGTAATGGCAGGTCTCAAGATCCTGCTGCTCTGGGCTGGGATCCTCGTTATGGCGGAGGGTAAGTAAACCCTCTTCATGACAAACAGGCCTCTCTACCAATAAACAACACAATATATTGATTTAAGTATTTCAAAGATTCAAAAACCCTTATTAACATTGTGTTATTCGTTTTTTCAAATTTCAATTAAAATGTTTCTCTAGTCACCACAGCTCAATATCAGCAATGTGAGTATCAGTTTTTTCTTTTCATTTAAATTGGCTATTTAAGGTAGATGTATACATAAATGTTTGGATTGTCAGGAGCACGTTAAACTTGAACAAAGACGCCTGCAGGTGTTTTTTATTTCCTAGGAGATTTTATAACTTTTTAGTGTGTTCAAGTTTGGCTTTCCTGCAGAGGAAGTTGAAGTGCTGCTTTGTGAACTCTGCACATACACTCTGAATATAATATCTATTTATTTGTTTGCTGTGAATGTGTCCTTATTCTTATATTATCTAAACCCAACATGTTAGTACTCACAGGACATTAGGTTCGTTCAAGCTTTTATAGAAAGTCGTCTTACTTGTGTTTTATCAGTAGAAGGCAAACTTAATGAGCATAGACAACTTCCTGAATTGGAACCCTTCACAAACTATCAGTATTGGTCGGATCAAGGACAAAAATGTCCCGGAACAAAAAACTCGAGTTTAGGATTGACTGCAGCATATGAATGAATACTTAACTGAATGACAAGAAAGATAAAGATAACTACACAGAGAAAAGAAGTGTGGTAGATTTAAAAATGTATTTTCCAGTCTCCACCGAGTCCCCTCTCCCTTTTTAATTTAAATTGGCTATTAAAAGTAGATTTATACATTAATGTTTGGAATGTCAGTAGCAAGTTAAACATGAACAAAGTGTCTGAGATTAAAAGATGTTTGCATGAGGTCTTTTTAGTAACTAGGATTTTAAGGAGGTGGCAGTGGCTCAGTCTGTAGGGACTTGGTCTTGGAACCGAAGGGTTGCCGGGCCACGCCCCAATCGGACCAAACAAATCAATAAAAATGGAGCGAGCTGGTAGCTGGAGAGGTGCAGTTCACCTCCTCGGCCCTATGGCACCTAACCTCGAAACTGCGTATAACTGGCAGCCTCTCTGCTCTGCCACCTCTCCTAGATTATAGGGTGATCTCTCCTGCTCCTCCTCCAAACACCTCTCAAACCCAGCCTAGCAATAACTGACCTCATAGCATCTACACTTTTAGAAGTTTTAAATTATTCACATGGTGTTTGTGCATAATATATTGATAATATTATACACAGCAATTATCTCATGCTTGTGTCCATAATAAAATGTATGAATGTTTTGTTTCCTTGTCTGAAGTGCCTGCATAGTGAGTTTAAGTTAAATACAAACCACATTTTATACTTTACTGTGTCTTTACCAGTACTTTTCAATGAAACAAAAATTAGGAATAGGACGAATACTAAATATATGTTGACGTAAATGTAGTTTTGAAAAGGATACAAAAAATGTAATCTAATTCAACAGTATCTCCAGAAAATCAAACAAGTGCCCACAAACCTCCACTCACCACTCCAATACTCACCTCAAACTCACCAATGCCTTCAACATATTCAACTAGTATATCTGGTAATGTATTCTGCCTCAGTTTACACTTTTATTGGAAACAGCGTTGAAATCAGCCTGACATTGCTGACATCTGGTAGGACTATTGGCAGAACATTTTGTAGGGTGACCTCTAGCATGCTCTCCCTCTTACAGCCACTACTGCTCTTCCTACAATCACCTCACCCTCATCCAAACCCATCACCACACCCACACCGACAAACACCTCTCAAACCCAGACTCAACTTCCAGTCACCACGCCCAACACATCAGTGACTCCTTTCGCCACAGGTTGGAACGTTTTCTCCTTAACAAGCCCGCCATTTGTTCTTCTATAAGACTCTGATATTACTGTGTTACTATTATGAATGTAGACTACAGCTACTAGCACTGCTAATGAGTGTGTTACATTAGGTTAATAAAATACACACAGTTGCAAGAGTATTGAAAGTTGTCATAAGCATAAATTAACATGTTTATTTTTCTGATCACTTTGAATGTGTTCTCCAGCCGAAGCTCCAGCCCCTCCACCTCTGGAGTGTGAGTATCAGTTTTTATTTTCAAGACATAATACAGGTCTTCTTCACACTCATCTTAACAAAAACATTCAAAGATTATGTTTGTATTTCTCCATTGTGTTATCCTTGGCAATGAATGCTATTGCAGAAAGTAAAGTTTAGATTCCCCGGAGAACTTTCAACATCTACATGAACAAAGTGTCTGGGATTAAAGGATGTCACCAGGTTTTGTTTTTATTTTGTGTCCAGGTTCTTACACGGTCACACCCAGCAACTCTGGCTTCAACATTACCATGAATAAGAACTTTACGACTGGCAACTACATCATCTACATCAAAGAAACGGGCCGACCAGATAGTGGACATAACTATTCAGTTCAGTTCTCCAATGAAAGCTCAACACATGAAATCAAACACCTGAAGCCCTGCACTGAGTATGAGCATGATGTGGCATTTATTGATGCTGCTGGCAAAAAAACACCCTGCACCACGCAAACGAATACAACTAAGACAAACGAATGGAGTGAGTATAAATAAATGTTGAATATCATCTTACTTTTTTAAATATAAGGAGACACACTGACAGAAGTGTTTGTTAATTTTCACTTGTGTATTTCAGAAGAAGGTGATATTAAAAATGGCAGCTGCATGCTTGGATATGTTTGTTACCGTAGTGACTGGGACATCAGCTCTTCACTATCAACGTCAAATAATATTTCAGCTGAGCCGTGCAAAAGTGACAAAAATGTGATCTGTTTCAAACCTCCTTACAATGACATTTGCACCAATTTGACTACGAAGTTCACTTCAGGAAACTGTAACGCCTTGAGCCTCACCAGAAGCATCACTACTGGTATGTACAGTAGAGTCTTTGTTTGTTTAAAAATGCATGTGGTGTAAACCTCATTCATCATTTTTCATGTATGCACTGTTTCCTTTTTTTCCCAACAGATTTCTTAAATACAAGTGAAATAAATCAAACAAGTCCAACTAAACTTCCTGCAGAAATAAAAACAGATTTGCCTCCAAACTGCAAGAATCTCAACATCACTTACAGCTGTCAGGGTAAGAGGAAAGACCAGAACTAAAGAGTCTGTCACCAACATTATGACTGGATTAACATGGAAATATTCACATGAGATGATCTCACTGTAGAAACACATACAGTTTTATCTTAAACTGAATCTCAATTTTCGTTTAGTGTATGAGGAAGTTGAGGTTTTGCTTTGACTATGACTTTGTTGATTGTGGGTGCAGGTTCTCACAGGCATCAGGTTTGGCTTGAGTGTATTGCACTCTGTGAATACACTCTGTATATAATATCTATTTTTCTCCATTGGTGTAAACATCTGTCTACATTTGAATCTTATCCAAACCCAACATGTAAGAGCTCACAGGGATTTATGTAACATCTATTGAAGAAATGTTGTCTAACTTGTGTTTTTAGAAGTTGGAAAACCCGATGAGCTGAAGAATCTTACTGACCTGGAGCCCTACACAGACTACAGCTGTACCGGTCAGATCACGGACAACAATGTCAACATAAAAAACACAACTGCTATCGAGTTCAGGATTGACTGTGGTACGTGAATAATCACCTTACCTCAGGGCAATGATAATAAAGATAACTATGGAGAAGAGAAGTTTAATTAATGTCTGATGTGTCCCTACAGATCTTAAAATGAGCATCCCAGTGACAAGTGTCACCAACACCTCCATTGCTCTGAGTTGGACCACAGACAGTGAGAACTGTGGAGTTGTCCTTCCTAAACCTCAGTTTCATTATGAGTGCAGCTGTAAACCTACTCAATCATATGAGAAAAGTAAGTTAAAATATTTAGATTATCTATTTTATTGCTCAGTTGAACATAGGCAAAAAAAAAATTTGAATTTGGAAATTTGAATCAGTGCTCCATGCTAACACATGCTAGCATGCTGAGTGAAGGTAGGTGTTAGTCATAACCTGAGATGATAGAACAAGTCAATGTTTCCTGAAGAATATTTATATAATGTTCATGAAATATTATACAATATATAAAATGTTGTTCATTTCCCCATATATTTGCATAATGACACAATTTGAATTAATTTAAGAAGGTGCACGGTTGGTGATTCTACCAATGACGGATGTTACTGATTGAGTGAATGATTTATTGATTGTTTGATTAATAGCAACAGGTATCTTAACCAACAAAACAATGTGCTGTTGTATAATCCCAATGTTCTGTCTTTGCTTTCTCTATATTGAATCAAACTACTAATGTAGCTGTAGCTGACAAAAATCCATCTGGAGGAACATGTAAAATTGATCGGCTGAAACCATACACCGAGTATAACTGTGCAGTACATCCCAAATACAACAACTACGTTCCTGAACCAACTAATGTAAAACCGACTAGGACAAATATTGGAGGTAAGTGTCTAAAATGTCACTTGGATAATATTTAGATCAAAGGTAATATAAACAAATATTTATTAAGGTTGTTTATTTCCTATTTTGTTGAAAGGTACGTTATAAAGTCACTCATTATTTCAATTTGGAACATCAACACACAATTTAATATAATCAATGATTTTAGAATGTTAAGTTATAGTAATTACGTGATAGTACTTAAAAAATGTTATCTAATTTCTTCTATTTAATATCATCATATAAATGATGTGACTTATCTTATTCTGTCTGTCTTTTTTTAACAAATGATATTAAATGCTGTGAATGAGACAGCATATCAATAACATCATTGTTTTTCAGGCCATTATAATGAACATTACACTGTATTTCCAGTCATATGTGAAGAACAGTGTTTTTTATTGTATTGTGTTGTGTTTTGCTATAACTCTACCGACTTGAGTCTGTTCTGACTCAACTAATTCATTTAACAAATGAATCAACTTTAACTTGATGTACATTTACGTGTCACCTACTATGTGGCTGCCTATCATATACAACTTCATAACTCATTGTTATTTCCTTTAAAAATTGAAATTGAAATTTCATAAATGTGATGCATGTGAAGTCCAACCTGCAGACTTCCCCCAACACACACTGTAACAGTCGTGTCAGATAAATGACATAACAAAAATTCATTCATCCTTATAAAACATAAAAGATTAAAGAATAAAAACTTTTTACATTGAATTTATAATGATACATGTTTTCAATGCAGCTTTCTTTGATTTGCAGTTTGTATTTATATCCCTACAACCATTCATCCAATGCAGCAACACACTTCTGATGCAAATCATTGTTTAAAATGCTGTTTAAACAAATTGAAATATCACTTCAAATATGTTTTTTTACAGTGCCAGGAGCAATTAAGAACGTGATGGTGCATCTTCCAGAGCATAACGTGATTAACGCAACCTGTGATCGTCTAAATCCAACTGATTTTAATGGACCTGAGGAGGATTACATCGCACGTCTTTATGGTGATGGTGTCCTGATTAAGATTCTGAACAAAACCAAATGCGAGTTTGAATTCAAAGATTTAAGCTACTCAACCAAATACGAACTGAAGGTGTGTATGAGCCAAACCTTTGGGTTCCCAACACTATTTAAACTTTATTCCTCATATTTCTTCAAATGCTATATTTCCTGATGAGGAGATCTCCTGTGTTCCAGGTGACTGCTTCCAATGGACAATACGAGGGCAAAGCCAACCAACAATCTGTCTCCCTTCCTGTATGTGGTGGTTTTCCATTCATGCCAATAATGGTTTTTATTAACTAAGTCATTTGACACTTGTACACTATCTCTTTTCATTCATTGTATTTAACTCTTATGTCACAGACAATGACAAAGCTCTCATAGTTAGTCTGGTCTTCTTCATCGTGGCATCTGTGGCCTTCGCCGTGGTGCTCTATATCTACACTCAGAGGCTCAGAAAGTCCAGGAAGTAAATACTTACTTACTTCTTACCCCAACTTATCAGTTTTGACTTTTACATTCTCTCTGGCTTGTTTTACAGTTGTTTAAGTTTGATATTAATACTATTATTTACAGTAAAGGATGTGATGACATTTTTAAATTATATTTATTCAGTTTTATCTCGTCTTTTTTAGGCAGAGGTAACACATTACATATATAAAAGTTAACTGTTTAATACATTATTGAATATTACAATATGTTATATTCTATATAATTGTTTTTCCATAAAGCTACATTTGAGCTTTTTTCTTCACAGCGATGCGGATGTGGATGAAAATGCTGTGATTGAACTAACAGAAAGTGAGTAGAATAGTTTTCTTTTTACTATCATTTTGTTTGAAGTAGCAGAAATCCCTGTAACACTTTATATTAAATTAGACATATAAACTATTAAGTAAGTTCTTTTTATTAGTAATTCTAAAGCACATATAGCTTTAGTAGTATATACTGCCTTATTTTGCTTGACTATATTCTACAACTAATAGGCCATCTTGTAGTTTTAAAGTATGACAATATATCTTTGTGAAGTGTGTGTTAAGTGCACTGTATATTGACGAGTACATAACATTAAGTTGCACAATTTTCCTTTTATTTCCCTGCTGTAGTTTATGCTAATGTGCCTCAATCTGAATGCCGCCGTAGAGACTCAACCTGATGAAGAACGGCCTGATGGAGCTGCCAACCAAATCATCATTTACTCATGTGACGTAGAAATAATTGTAATCTGCTTACACTGGCAATGGTGTGTTTAAGAGAAGATGGGATGGATTAATTGCTTCATGTTTTAGTCGTTTTGGGTTGTTGTGTTTTAATGTGTGCACTGTAACAAGTGGAACATTTAAGTTTTGTATTCAAATGTTTATCTCTTATAAGATTATAACCGGTTTTATTGTTCTGTTGAGATTACGTCACATTTTCCTTTTATATTTACACCTTTGCCAGACGACACCACCTAAAGAGAGGGAAATGAATAGCAACAGTTGTTAAGTCTTGCAGATGCAGACAGGTTGATATGTACAGCAGCTGAAGGTATTGGTGGTGTTTTAAGTCTTTTGTAACAGCTGCAGTTTTTCACATGTGTGTATGTGATGTATTACCTTTCATATTTGTATGACCAATAATTACTCATAATGCAAACAAATAAAAATAGTAGTGCGCTTGTAACCATAAAACATCACATTTCATGTTTTCTTTTTCTTTAAGAAGTTATTACAATTTAAGAATCAATAATTAAACCAATATACACTTTTGGTATTGGCAACAGTAAGGAAATGATTATAACATCCCAACTAAATTGGCCCTAATCTGAAAAGATGCCAAGATAATTCCATGTAGCCATTGGTATCCAATAGTCCATTGTGCTATGAGTGGTTAAGTGGTGTATTTAGGCAATTTTTTAGTTACAACATGACAGGAAATACCACATTACACGACATTTACTAGGCATCTACTGTAATACTGGAACTCTTTAACCTCTAGAACAATGAAACAACAAAATGTACTTGTGGAGTTCAGACAAAACCTACAATGATACATTTTTATGTTGTGTTAAAAAAAGAAAATGAAGTTATATAAATATACTTACCATTAAGCTGGTTTCACTTGCCAGTTGTCGTTCAGAGGAAAACGCCCTCTTGCTGTACATTCAGGAATCATGATACATGTCCCCTTTCAAAGTTCAGTCCTTTAATAAATGACTAATCTGGTGCAGGTCTTCAGGTGTGAAACAGTAATTGCTGTATTTCTTGTTGATCAAATGTTCGGATGTGAAACTCATTGAAACCGGGTCACGCTCCAAACACTCACTCTAATGTCCAAAATGAATTTGAAAGCTTTATTGCATTTAGTTAGCATACAAGGCATTTGTGATAAGGGTCTTTAATTTGACATGAAATGTTCTGAAAAAAACAAAACAATAAATATTATTTGCAATATTTGACTTTCTGGAAACCCCCCTAGACTCTTCAATCCCAACTTCAGAGGGTCTGTGGAAAGGAAACTGAGTCGAAGTAAAAGGCTAGGACACAGGAGAGCACTGTATGTGACATGAAGGCTAAAACGCTCACTACCAAGAAAGGGCCGTAACCATTAAAGTGACTTAGCACTGTGTGTTATAAACCTGCTAGTGAGGATTTCTTTTTTAAAAGCAAGGCATTTTGTTCAATATACAGTATATTACATCTTTTATAACAGACTGGTACTTGCATTGGATGCAACTGTCAGGCTGATATAAAAGCATTTAGCATCAAAACTCAATTGCTCTATTTGCTAAAATACTTTGGTGCCATAGAAATGCTATTGTTTAGAGAACTAAATATATAATTAAAAGAACTTTGGGTGAACACAATGACAAATATTAGCTAATAAAGATTAAAAACTGAAATGGAGGGGAGAGTGAGAAAGCAATGGTAAACAAAAACTGCATCTGCAAGTCCCAGGGAAATATCTGCGATCAACACACTATCACAATAATGTGTCGACTGAGACAAAATCACTTATATTTTCTTATCTATAAGCTTTGATTTTCTACTATTTATTATTTCATGTTAATGAAAAAACATGATCAAACATGGGCATACAAGTACAATCATTTCAATGAGCGGCTATTTAATGATAGAAGAGAATTCATAAGCGACCGAAATTAAGCGTTATTAACCGTTATAACTTTCGTGTGGTATTTTGTTACTATGTAAACTGGTGCTGGTCATTTGTGACCTACTGGAGTAAACCTATTAACTGTTAAAAACTAATTAAAACAAACATACATACCCCTGTATCCTTCCTCCAGATGAATAAAGGGTTATTAAACCTTACAGTATTACATCTATAGGAACTTCTTTACTATGTACAGTAAAACAATGCCCAATGGTGTTTGTATTTTCAGGACAACTCCTTGATATACTTCCCATGAATAACACCAAACACATGTAGAAAGTGCTCTGTCTATACGTGACTTTGTCTTTGGTATCCCTACTGGAGGATAAGTTAGGTAGGCACGCTGTGATTGACTCATGACATGGACGGCTACACAAGGATCTGCTCTCTCTTCAACACATCTGTTACTTAACAAGACAACTACACTGCAAACGTACACAGCAACCTAAACAATCACAACATTTTGTCCACAAATGCAGCCGCTGGACAATGATGGAGAACTATGTGTTTTGACTTCCCATGTCTTTATTGTGATTTAAAATATATTTTGCTTGAGTTGAACCAAGGGAGGGAATCTTTTGGTGTCAGTGACTAAGGTAAACAGCAGACGTAAAGCTGCTTTTCTTTCAGCTTCTCGACTCCTTCTAGGCTGTCAAAAAAGAGACATTCTGAATTTTTCAAAGACAATACATAGATGTCAAAATGACTTACATTCAAAGTGTTGTGGAGACATTTGCCCATGTTTTCCCCCCCGGCACGTCTCTAGTCTTCCCTCTAAATGATCCTTCCTTTCCCAATACAGTCATTAGACATGATCACCCTGCCTTCCTTTCAGTACCAGGATAAAGTGCAACACAACACCTCCTCTACCACCAAATAACACTTTGTTACGTCTCTCAGTTCTGCTGCCCTCGAGTGAAAAACTTTTTTTTTTAAAGTGTTCATGTCTTTTTTGTGCTAATTGCGGTCTCAACTAGTAAACCGTTAATGGTCATTTTTCTTTTATTTCTGATCCATGATTAACTGTTTTGTGGATAGGTAACAGCTAACTTTGCCTTTTTATTTTCTTCTTATAATCTTTTTTCAGTACATCTGCTTTAAACACAATATGCTTCTATCAGCTGCTGAAGAACACCATCACTTCAATACATGAATATACAGAGGAAATGCATTTTAAAGCTATAGCACATCAGTGAGTTACAATACGCTGATTTTCAGTGCTGTATCATTATTGAAGTCTGAGGAATGGGAGGTCCATCTGACAAGAAGTATAATCTTTATCCTAAGGCAGAAAGGTGTGGGTGTCAGTTATATAATGGACTGTACCTCCACCTTTACAATAATTATGTTGCTTCTTATCACAAGGAGCTAAACTCTGGAGTTATTGTATAAAAGCCAATAGATTTTTTCGAGTCCAGCATGAAAAGCAAGAAGGGAAGTGGGGAGGAGTTCTGCGAGCTATATGCGTGTCACTCTGGGTTTAGCTGCCCTGTGTCGTGTTCTGCATGTGTTTGGCAATGTCGTACACGTAGGTGATGTCCGGCCTCTTCTCCGGGTCAGGGTTGATGCACATATCTACCAAGTTCCTCAGCTGGTGAGAGAGACAGGGGGGTGTGGGTGGGGGGTAAACAGAGAAATTAAACAATCAATAAAACTGTAGTGTGAGCAAACTGTAAAAGAGCAGCTTGAGAAATGAACAAACCCTCGCTAACGGAGACCTGCTCGTCTCTCTGTGCCCTCTAGATGAGCTCATTTCATAAAAGCAATAACAAGGCCACAGGTAATCGAGCTGAGACAAAGACGCAGAGCTGTGTTAGTGCACTAATCTACGATTGGTCTGAATCCACATTTACCCCAGCCCCACAAGTACACACAGACACACTAACGCACACACTGCTGCCACTCCATTGCCATCCGGAGACAGCACTTACACTTGAAGCCGAGCGAAGCGGCTGATTGGAGCAGATAGATAGACAGGCTCGCAGGCGGAACAGCCACCGCCATCATTAAAAAAAGAGAAGAGAATAAAAGATTGAGAGGAAAGAAGAAAAAAATATAACATCTACGCGAGGTCGCTATGGTAACCGTCTGCCGACTTCCTGGCCGCTGTTGCGTGGCACCGGCTTGGACGAGTTCTCGTCAGCCGCTGTGTTTATATATGTGCGTGTGTGCGTGCGCACGTGTGTGTGTGTGTGTGTGTGTGTGTGTGTGTGTGTGTGTGTGTGTGTGTGTGTGTGGGTGTGTGTGTGTGTGTGTGTGTGTGAGAAAGAGAAAGTGGGAGAAAGATGCAAATTCAGACAGTCTGAGAATTAGTCCCACAGAATGGAGATGGAGAGGGGGGGGGGGGGGAGATGCAGATATGTAAAATATTCATGCGCTTCTTTGCATGGCGAGTGGGATGGGGGAGTGGGGGAGAGTGTCAGGTGGAGGGGGGGGGGAGTGGGAGCTGGTGAAGGGAGGCGTGGGGGGGAAGCATAGACGGAGATGGTTAAATGACACAACAAAGATGAGCAGCTGACAGTTTGCTGCCGATCCTTCAGGAGCATTGTTTACATCCAGACAGGCGCTGCAGGCACCCCCCTCATCTCCATCTCTCCATCGCCCTGTCTCTCGCTCTATCATTCCCTCTCTCTTTCGCTTTGTCTCCCTTTCTCCTGGATGGGGGTGACATGTGGGGCAACGCAGAAGCTCAGCGTGGTGTGTGAGTGGAGAGAGCTCTTGTTGCAAAATATACACTTGCACAATTGCTCATGCACAAACAAAAACTCAGTCATAGAGACTACAGAGGCTTCAGACACCTCGCAATTAGCCTTTATCCTCCTGATGAAGTCAATGCCACAGTATAATAAAGCCTCTTAATAGGGTTTATTATTTAACATGAATTAGGAGAACCACTTAAACTAGCTGTACACAGATACTGTGATAGTACAGCAGAGAGCATGGAGGGCAAATAGTTGCACCTTTTTAGAAGACATTTAACATGTAGGAATGTAAAGGCATCTTAATACTGGTATGTCATGAGTCAATTAATCAATTTGTTGATTGACTGAAAATGATTTAGTTCAATCCTGGAGGAATAAATGAATCTATGGATTAGTTCAAGTAGAAAATGTAAAATATTTGCTGTAAAATGTTTTACATTTCTGACTTCAGAGCCTGAAAGTTTTTTCTGAAACGGTTTCAGGCTCTCAAATGTCACCTTGTGCCGAGTGTATCTTCCAGTTTGGACTTCCAGTTATAATTAGAGACACAAACAACTATACAAAGACGTCACCACGGGATCTTATCTGGACTATTTTCTGACATTTCATAGACTGAATAAATCATCAACTTATCAAAAAGTATTGGACATACTAATCAATAATGAGATTAAGTTTAAATTGCAATGTCACCTAAAGTACAAAGGCTGGAACAATGAAAAACACAGGTATTTATTGTTAATTATTATTATAACTCACAAAGCTGTAGTGCGCCCATACCAAAGCACAGTGTCACTGGTGAATGAAGGTAATGCCTGCA